ACTGTAACCTGGGAGTGAAACTGGCAGTGAAGTAAGGGAGGAAACAGCCCTGGTTGTAAGAATATTTCTAGGGAAGAAGGCTCCCTGATGGGCTGGCATGGGAATCGCTGTGGTTGTGAGCCCCCTGTTGCCCTGTGGGAGTGTGGGCAGGGAAGGAGAGAGACTGTTCACACTGGTCATAGTCACTACAGTTTGGAAACAGCTGAGTTCTGTTCCCTCACAGCTCAGACACATGCAGGACATGAGGATGCTTAGCTAATGACCAACAGTGGTTAGCAAAGGCGAAGAGTGTGGTGTGGAGGAGACATGGGGACACCTTCTGGAAGAACATCTGCCCCAGGGGACCAGGAATTTAATGAATGATTGGAAATGTACAAAGGGTTTGTATGGCCTCATCAGGTAATTCCTACTTTAAACTGATAACCTGGAATATATGTTTAAATACAGTGAAATGACTGCTCTTAATTTAGGTTCTACAAACCCTTAAATGGATAGATTTCTATCTCCATTATAAAAGGACTGCTGGGTAACCTTTATAGTCATGTGAGGATCAAAAGAGTGAAAACTTATTAATGCTATTTCCAAGCTTCTACTGAATTAACACTTCGGCAACAGTATAATGGCCACGCTTATTAACAACTGCCTCTGTCAGGGTCTTGTAAGTCACAAATAATAATTTTAAAGAATATATATTAAAAATAATAACAATTACAGTTGCAACAACTATGTTGTTTATAACGATGATAGTGTTAGCAACTCCCTCTCATATTAAAAATTACCCAACTCTGGATTCCTTAAGATGCAATGACAATGCATTTTTGGACTCTTCAAGGTCTTCACCCCATGAAGCCTTTTTACTCACACTGGTCCACCACAGCCAGAATTGCTGTTCCTTCCATGGCGGGCTGACATGCTGCGATGTCCTGGGCTTTTTCTGGCACCATGCGTCTATACTGGGTACTCAAGGTTCCACGTACCCACTCTGATTTCCCATATATTGTTCTCCAGAGCCAACAGAGGGCCACTGGAAAAAGGCCACAAGGAAGGTGGTGAACCCAAACTGAATACCTGTTGAAGGAATGGACACACAACATGGAGTGGTGGATGGATGGTAGGACAACATCAAATCCTTTACTCCTGTAAAGAGAGAGGGGCAAATGGTGAACTAAGTCCCAAAGAGAAAAGACATTCATGGTAATAATCATGTTCAACAGTGAAAGAATCCAAACAAAAGGCAAATATAAAATCTCTGGGAAGAAGACTCATTACAACCTGTTTCTTTCACGTATATACGCTTAGTAGGTATAACATACTTAAAAATCTTTAACCAACCACAGTTATTTGCTGGCAATAAACTTGGGAATCTTGAAGCATATTATTCACTCTCAGTGTTGAAATAATACAATCTTGGAAGACGATTTGTAATTGAGGGTTAAAAAACGAATATTGTGGATGTATCTAACAATTTAAGTAGAAATAAGAAATGTTGCTTCAGGAAAGCTCTGCATAGAGAATGTTGGAGGAAATGCACTGAAAATAGGCAAGTTATCAAGCTCCCTTCCGTCTGGGAAGGTGAGTGCAGCACATTCAGAGAGTCTATGAAGTTATTACAAGTCACAGAAAGGTATGCAATTAAAGTGGCTTCATAAGCAAAATATCCTTCCTCAGGAATTTTTATCTTGATATTTGTATGGTCTGTGTGGTCACAGGAAGTGAAAGTTATGGTGGTGGCTTAGAAGTTCTTTTCCCTCTGTCTGTAATTTACAGGGCATTGCTACAGTTGGGGCAGCAGAGATCTGTGGTAAGCTTTTCCATGGGGTGGGAGAGTGGTTAGAAATGATAAGGCCAGACATCTAAAAGACTTTTAGACCCTCTCCTCCTAAGTGGCAGACCTTTAAAATAAACTAGCACAGGTGCGTATCTAAGAAAGTGGATGAGAGGCAAATTTATAGTCCCTTTATTGTTACTGCTCAGTCAAGGGATAGGGACCACTCTGGCCAGGAAAGGCAAGACCGTGGATGGGGTGGATGGGTAGGAGGAGCTGACATTTGCTTCTGACCTGAGAGGCAGGGCTGTGTTGCATAAAACCAGACAGTGCTGAAAAGATGCAGCAGGTCCACAGCCCAAAAGGAGCTGTCATATTCAGGGAGGTCAGAGAGCAAGAACCAGAGTTAGTGACGTCACAGGGTCAGCAGTGTGGCAGCAGTGATATCAGTATCTGTGTCCATAACCCACCTAACCCTACATGAACTCATCTGCTTACAGAGGGCAGATAAGGAGCAGAAATGTGTGGAGTGGGTGCAGCCACTGATAAATTGGCAAGTGGACATCCTAATGAAACGCACTGCTCACAGTCACCATATTGGAAACAGGGCCCCACACTGTCAGATCTCCTTCTCATTCAAGAGAAGCCAGAATTAAGACTTTATTAACTACCAACCCAGATCAAAACCCAGAAAAGATATCATTTATAATGACAACAAAGGCACAGACTATTCAGAAATAAATTAATGAAAAATGTTAAGATGATTCCGGTAAATGACTTAAAAAAAGAAAAAAAATTTTGATTGATTGAACAGTAGAATGCATCATACTCTTCATTGGGCAGACTCAAGTTTGGGGGACATAGAACATTTTTTCTCCAAAATAAATTTAGAATCTGAATGCAAATTTAGTTAATAATCCCAAATGGATTTAAGAAAAAAATCTGAAAGGTGAACGTATAGTTCTTCCAGAAATATACACAAATATACAAATGAAATAATGAGAAGGAAGGTTTGAATTTGTAGTATTAGGGACATTCTGGAAAAGGATAAAATAGGACCAACTCTAGGAGGTATTACTCAATGGTCATGGAAACAGTATAGATATAGTGCACTGAGAGTATGAATGAAATAGATTACATTTCAAGAATAGACGTGGATATTTATGAGATTTTAGTAATATTATAAAGCTGACACTTCAAATTAGTGGATTCAAGTACTGGAGAAATTAGCTAAATCATTTGAAGACCTGGCACAGTGTCCTCAATTTTGACATTAAAATAAATTCCAGATAATTTTTTAATTAAAAAATAAAACATAAGAAACAGCTCAACATGATTTAATCTGTTCAGATATTCAAGCGAGAAGAACTTTCTAAAAAGCTTTTGGAACAAAGACCAACAATAGCAAAGGCCTAGCAACACAGCAAGGCCAGCAACGCCCACTGTAAAACAAAACTAACCCTTGCCCAAACCTCTCTCACGGCCCTGTGTTGCTCTCTGATACTTTCTACACTTTTTTCTTCCCTTTAAAGTCCAGTTTCTTGGAGAAGTGCCTGCGCTGATGACTCCTCCAGGGCCCAGAGCTCTGCATCCCCCACGGCCCTCACCGCGGCACTGAGACGGGAGTTGCACTGCCGGTGGCTGCGTGTTTCAAACCAGTGGGCATTTTCAGCTCCTGTTTATTTGATTACCAGGTAGCTTTTGCCGTGGACAAATATTTTCCTCTCTGGGATGTTTTCCCCCATTAATTTTTGTTTTACTTAAATACATTTAAAAAGCCCAGGAAGAAAATATGTGTGCACATATGCACACACACAGATACACACAGATCTGTTTTTTAAAGGCTACCTTAGTCATCCTCCTCCTTTTCCCCAGTCTTGTCAATTAAAGGTGGGCTTTAGCTCTTGCTTTTTTGCCCCACACACCCCCCTTTCTCACTATGCTCCTTTTAGTCAGTGTTCAAATCCCCCTTAAGCCAGGTTACAGCCTTCTCTGTGTTGCCTCAACTAGTCTTCTCCCACATGCTCTGCTATTCTTCTTTCTCTTGGTGGATTTCTCTTCTCCCATTTGCCATGTACATGGCCCATTTCCCCAGGGTTTAGTCTTCAGTCCTCTGCCTGGCAGGACTGAATCGCCCCCACGGCCTCACCCAGAGCTCCTCTGAGCTCCTGACTGCTGCATCCAGCTTAACAGTGGACATCACCCCCCAGATTTCCCATAGATAATTTGCACTTAAAATGCCACACACAGAAGCGTCTCCTCGAAACCAGCTCCTCCCCATACACTCCCCCTGCAGATCCGCTCTCCCAATGGGTCACTGGAAAGCCACCTCAGCAGCTCTGTGGCCCTACGCCCTGGCCCTGCAATCCCCTCTGCAGCAGTCACCACTTCTGCTGCCCATGTCTCTTTCCCTCTGCCCAGGGCCTCTCTGCAGGCGTGTGCCTCTTGTTCTCTGGGTAACCTGGGGTGGTCCTCGAAATATCCTTTCCCCGCAAAATATGGGCCTCCCCCCAAAACTGTATCTTCCATTCTGCTGCCAGAATAACCAGATCTTCTTCATCATAAATATTATGCAATTCTCTTGCTTTCAAATAATCCAATATATCCCTATTTCATTAAGGATACATTCAAGTCTAAGCACACAAGACCCTTCGTGACAGAGGCCTTGTGCATCTGATATTCCCACCTATGGATCCTTTGTCCTAGCCCTGCTTGTTCTTCAGTCTGGCCAAGCCGCTTCATGCCGTGTAGTCTTATATGTCTCTACCTCTCTGCATGAAGTGTCCACTCCCTCTACCACACATTAGAGAATTAATTTCCTTTCACCTTTTAAGATTCAGTTCAAATATTTCCAGCTCTAGGAAGTCCAATGGGGGTTCACCTGCTTAGCAATACATCAACTATTCGCCAAGCATCATCTGGCCTGTGGAGTGCAGACACCAAGTCTTACTTGTCTTGGTCTCCCCAGCAGTTGATACAGTGTTTGGCATAGCAGGTGCTCAGTGTTTGTTGGATGGATAAACGAATGAATCAGTAAAGTGAT